GGTTGAAAGGCAGAAGGACTTGTACAGCCACATTCCTCGCTTTAAGTGATGCATGCTGCTGCCTAGTGAGTGAGTGTGAGTGAGTGAGTGAGTGTTCAATTAAGACATATGCTTTCATATTTTAAGAATGAATTTTTTATACATTCATTCTTTTTGCTTACATGTTTATTACCAATCTCTCACTTCACCCTTCAGTGATCCAGAGAGTCCAGTTTAATTTGTAACTTTAGTGAGTAAAATGTTTTGATCTTGCCTCCATTTTCTACCCTCTTCTCTGGAACAGAGTGGGAGCATTCTGCCTTTATTATAGCAAACAAAGGCCTCCTTCTCCTGCTGTACAGTTTGATGAAGGCCATGCCCTCTCTCTGGCAACTGGCCAGTTAAAAAAATGTCAAGTGTTTTTTGCAGTCAAGTACAGCAGCCATTTTGCACAAAGCAAGACAGAGCAAATTTTTCACATCTCATTCTTTGTTTTGATCAATCAGGTATATGATACCAGTGAAAACCCATCACCATCCAAGCTTCAAAGTATCCAGAGAAGATTGAGAGTTTCATTTACACATGTCAACTACTTTCCTTGGTTTCTTTGTGAAATTTCTTTGGTGGGAACGGAATGCGTAATCTCTCTCTGAAGGAACGAGTCCTGCTTACTTAATTCCAGAGAGCATCAGATGCAAGTTAGTGAGAGCAAAGGCTTGGGGACCCCAGTGTCTTCAAATGATGACATCTCCAATAATGTAGCATTCTCCCAGTACTGCACTGGAGTTTCAGCCTGGCCAGAGAACCAAGTTCAAGATTGTCATCCTCACCTTTAAAGCCCTCCAAGGTCTTGCTCCTCCCGACCTCTGTCACCTACTAAAACTTTATCAACCTGTCCGCTCCCTCCACTTGGCGAGCACTGGCCCCCGCCCCAGCTGCTCCACCAGCAGTTGAGCCTTCAGCCTTTCCCATTAAGGCTTTGGGTAACAGGAGCTGAGTCGGATGACTCCCTGCCCCCAGTGACTGGTCTGCCCTGCCAAGTTCTGCCAATGAGCCAGGCTGGCTGTGCTGCCACCAGCAGTGCCTGGAGTACTCTGGTCCTGCCTGGCTCAGGAACCGGACTAAAGACCATCATAGAGGGCTGGTTTGATTCCAATATTCCATAGGCAATCATGTCACCTTGGAGCCAGTTCAGTTCCAAGGAGACCCCACTTAAACCGGGTAGAGAGCAACATTGGTTGCAGATTGAGGTGAGGGCATAAGTCGGCATGTTCTTACTGGAACAAAAAGTGTGAATCGTGTCACCTTGGCTCATATCAGGACTTGAACTCACAAATATGAAGCTGACACTCCAATGCAGTCCTGGGGGGTGTTGCATTCTGGGAGATAAAGTCCTTTGGGTGAGACGTTAAACTGAGGTCCTGTCTGACTGTTCAGGTGGACATTACAGATCCCCTGGTACTGTTTGAAAAGAAGGGAGTTTCTCCTGGTGTCCTGGCCAACAATCCCCCCAATAAAATTGGTCACTTACTCCATGACTGTTGGTGAGACATTGCCGTGCACAATTATGCTGCCACGTTTACCTACAAATACACAGTCACTCCATTTCACAGCAAATCCTGTGAAGCGCATTGAGACATCCTTCTAAAGTGATAAGCTGTTATGCCAAATGCAAGGATTATAAAGTGGAAGCAGAAATGGAGTGGTATATACGTGGAAACTTACCATACAATGTGGATAATGTCACCAAGGGGGAAGCAAATAGACCAGAAAAAGGAGAGGATAAAGAATACAGAGCCCTATGTGATGCTACCCATCGTGAGGGGTGCTATATAAATGCAAGTTGTTGTTGTAGTTGTTGTGGCACCCCTCAGGTGATTGTGCAGGAAGGGGAATAGAAGCCATTTATGGAGCTATTGGGGAGTTGCTGGGACAGGTAAGAAAGGTAGAGGAGGGGACAGAGACAAGATCCAATATAATTTAGAATTCTCCTTCCCAAGGAATGTAAAGTCTGCACCTTGCTCAGGGTCCCCTTCCCCCACAAGTTCTGCAACACAAAAGAAACTAGTCACACAGGTTTGCCCTTCCCCACATTCCACCTACGGGAGCTACAGACAGAGATAAAAAGAACTGTGAATTCTGCACATCTGAACTGAAAACACAAGCTAACCTAAGAGGTAGAGCAGTTTTTAACGCCTAAATAAAAATGATTTTCGGGGAAAAAAAATTGTTTTGGGTTTTTGCCCTAAGAGATGGTACAGGTTCGACCCCCAATCATCCTTCCTCCCCCGCATCCAGTCCCTTACCAGCACCGCCTTTTTCCACCTCCGTCGCATCGCCCGTCTGTGCCAATAGCTCCCCCCAAAAGCCGCTGAAACTCTGGTCTATGCCTTTGTCACCGCTCGGCTGGACTACTCCAACGCCCTCCTCACCAGTCTTCCATCCACTACCATCCATAAAATCCAACTCATTCAGAACTCTGCCGCCCGCATTCTCACCCACACAAAACTCCGCTCCCCGATCACCCTAGTGCCTTCAGCCACTATGCCCCGAGGCTCTGGAACTGCCTTCCTCAATCCCTTCGCCTCTCTCCCTCCCTTCCCATTTTCAGGTCTCTGCTGGAGACCTTTCTTTTCGACCGCGCCTTTGGTCACCTTTCCCCCACCCCTTCCCCTCCCCCGGGCTCGGTCCAGGGATCCCAAACTGTAAAGCACTCAGAGACGCCGTCTGGCGTGGAGGGCGCTATATAAATCCAAGTTGTTGTTGTTGTTGTTACAGACTTAATAATAATAATAAACTATAATCCTGAGATTTGGTATAGCGCCTTTCACAAGTTTTGTAGGCAGGTGCGGCCACCAATTTGAGCACAGCAGTGTCCCACAAACCACCATGGAGTGAGTGACCAATTTGCTTTGGAGGATTGTTGGTTGAGACACCAGGAGAAACTCCCTTCTCTTTTTGAATAGCGCCGTGGGATCTTTAACGTCCACCTGAACAGGCCGACGAGGTCTCCGTTTAGAATTTCATCCAAATCACCTCCGTCAATCCAGCATACCTCCAGCACTGATTTGGAGCGTCACCATAGAATATATGAATTCCAAGACCCTTCACCTTACTTCCACATCTTCAGATCGCGTCTGAAGATCTTCCTTTCCTCATTGACCGTGCATACGGTCACCTCCCCCTCCCCCTGGCTCAGCGTCGTGCTCCATCACTATCAAGCGCTCTGGGACGCAACCCTGCGTAAAGGACGCTATATAAATGCAAATTGTTGTTGAACCCAGAACATTTTGGCTCAGAGGAACAAGTCCTACTGACTGAACCAAGCTGGCACATGGGCCCAATGGCCTCCTCCTGTACTGTAACATTCTGATTTTTATTTTAATTTACATTTTGCACAGTCCTGCCAGTTGACAGATTGCGTGCTCACAGATGACTTTGTGCTGGTGTGTTGACCTCAGCCCCGAGCTGTATGTACATAATGTGCTTTATAAAATGCATGTTATTGATGTAGTTAGTGTGTTTTCTTGGCACTCATGTTCATTAGTTGGTTCCAGGGTGATTCCAATTTGTTGCTGGTGATGTGAAAGTGAAGTAGCTGTTCAGAGTTGTGCTGTAAGAAATGTGCTGGGGTTTCTTTGACAATCTTTAACATGTTCCAAAATAAATCCAGATTTTTTTCAATGAATTTACACACATTCTTTGCATCAGATTCTTAACCCTCGATTTTCTTTGTTTGATACACAAAACGGATGCTGAAAGCCAGCCAGAAACACTTGGGGTTTTAGCTTGGTGACTTTAGTGGTCCTTTACTGATAAGGACATACAATTTCAAAGACAGTAGGAGACCACTCAACTAATTGTGCCTGTGCCAGTTCTCCGAAAGAGCAATCATCAAATGTGATAACTCAGATACTTTTTTATTTGTTCAGCCGGGTGCCTGACGCAAATGATAATTCATCATATGTTTAAGAGTATGGAAAGTGCTTAAGAACATAAGAATTGCTGGACTAAAGACCAAGGTTCATTCAGTTCACCTTCCGCCACCCTGCACTCACATGTCATGTCCCAAACTATATACTGTATCCCAAGATATTATTTCCTTATAAGAAATCTATTTAATTTGCTTTTGAAAGAATCAACACTTTCTGCTTCCAACGTCTCCCTCGGGAGCCATTAATACTCACTCATTGAAATAGTGTTTCCATAGATTTGTTTGAATTTACCCCCTTCAATCGCAGGCTGTGCCCTCTGGTTCTATTGTTCTGGATAAAGCAGCTTATCATAATCAATACTAGTGCTAAAATTCACAAGCACTGCACCAAACTAATGTGGATTCCATGTAGGTATGAAAATTTCCCTTTGGCTGAAATGCAGTGTGCACCCTATTCATCTAATTCTTGAAATTTTAGAAATAAGTCGGTAAAAGCTCGGGTTGACAGATCCCAAAGTGTGCATTGGAAATTATTGTTGGTAATTAACCAGATAAAACCACTCAGCTTCTCTGGCAAGACTTTGGCTTGTCGTGTTTACAGCACCTAAAGGAACGATACCTGTCCCCAGCAGCTAATGAGGCACTTTGAGACGTCTCAAAGTTGTGATAAGCCTCTGTATCAAATGCAAGGATTAGTTCTGACAAAGGGTCGTGGACCCCAAACTTTGACTCGCTTTCCTTTCTCCATAGATGCTGCCTGACCTGCTGAGGGCTCCCAGTGACTTCTGTTTTTGTTCCAGATTGCCAGCATCTGCAGTATTTTGCTGTTGTGCCATGATTATTATTATTGTAGCCCAATCTGCAGGGAATGCTCACACTTTCTGCATGTGGACAAAAAAAAAACTCTGCACTTTGCAAACTGAGAGACTTAAATTTCACACTGTCTCTCCCTTCAACGAATTAAACGGCCGATTCACAAAACACACGAAAAATTCCTATTGGGGAGTCCCTTCAGTCTGATCATCAGTGATAGAAAGAATCTGGACCAGCGGGTATTGCTGGCTTATTGCGGGCTTTAGTCAGATCAGGTGCTCAGCTCCCGCCCACATGTCGAGGGGCTATAAGTGCTGTTGTGTAGCCCCGTTGTCCTCAGATCGTTTGGGGGATTAGGAGACTTTATTTTTTTTAAAGGAAGAACTTGTTGACATTTGCAACGAGAGACAAAAACATGGCATCGATGGGGCTGCAGGTTTTGGGGGTGGTGTTGTGTGTGTTCGGATGGTTGGGAGCCCTCCTGACCTGTGTCCTCCCCATGTGGAGAGTCACCGCTTTCATCGGCAACAACATCGTGGTGGCTCAGATCATCTGGGAAGGTCTCTGGATGAACTGCATTGTGCAGAGCACAGGGCAGATGCAGTGTAAGGTGTACGACTCGTTGCTGGCTCTCTCTCAGGATCTCCAAGCCTCCAGAGCCCTGACCGTCATCTCGCTTGTGGTGGGCATCATTGGCCTCATCGTGTCCATCATGGGGGGCAAGTGCACCAACTGCATTGAGAACGAGGCCACCAAAGCCAAGGTGACCATCGTGGCTGGGATTGTCTTCATCCTGGCTGGAGTTTTGACCCTGATCCCGGTTTCCTGGTCAGCGAACACCATCATCAAGGATTTCTACAACCCCATCGTGACGGACGCCCAGAGGAGAGAGCTGGGGGCCTCCCTGTACATCGGTTGGGGAACCTCTGGTGTCCTGATTCTGGGAGGGGCTCTGCTCTGCTGCTCCTGCCCCCCCAGGAATCAGAGCGGATACACGGCCAAATATTCCGCTACAAGATCCACGGCCCCGAGCCAGAACTATGTGTAAACCAATGAGACGAGATCCAACCAAACTGGACTTTATTTCTCTTTTAAAATTGCTTCGCGTTTTTTTTACGCCAATTAAACTGCAATGTTCTCGTCTCTTTGGCCGGTAATTAAATTAGTTCTAGCATTTTTTTAAAGATATGGCTTGTTATAAGTGACTGTGTTTCTCATCGGGAATTGTGTGCGAGTTGTTGATGTCCCACCTGTTTCCAGACGCCTCTCAACACGTTGCACCTGACCATTGCCTGGTGCTGATCGGGAAGCCAAGCGCTTGGGGTGTTACAGATCAAGTTGAGGTTTATCCATCATTCCCCCCACCCCCAAAAAAATAGGTCAAATGGCAATGGAAGACCTGGATGTCGCCAATGAGCAACACAAGTGGCTTCTAACTTGCTTTGCAATCGCTCCTTTCCCACCTGCCGACAGTGAGAGAGCATTGGTTGAGTGTTGGTGTCATTACCAGCCAAGAGAAGAGTTGGTGTCTTTTTAGGCAGTGAGTACTTTTCAACTTACTAGTCCAGTCACTGTTGTCACTATCCAACCCGATTACTCCATGTTAATATCAATTTGATGAGGTTCCCCCCCACCCCCATCTGAAAGTTTGCTAGAATTTATTTCCATTGATCTCTTTTTTTAAAAAACGTTTTACTTCTCAGCCCTTTTCGTTGTTGCTGAGCTCTGTGTGTGTGTGTCCCACAATTACCAGACTGGCCTCCTGCTGAAATGTAATTTTTAGAAATGTTTCTTAATAAAAGTCATTCAAACGTGTTGCAGACCTGGTCTCTAGGTTGGAATTTGTCAGAAATGAACAGAAGAACTTTTGGGGGTTTGTTTAAGAGCTGTGGGACACTACCCTCTGTGAGGGGTGCAATCTGAATGTAAGTTGTTGTTCAAGGTGGACCTTGGGTGGGATCTAGTTGATGCCCTGAGGGACAACCAGGCAAGGCATCAGCTAACAGAACGGGTTGGGTTGTGACTGGGGCTGGTTCTGTTGGGCTTCACAGTTAATAATAATCCTTGTATTTGATATAGTGCCTTATGTCTTAGATGTCTCAAAGCGCTTCATCAAATATACTGTAAAGTGAACTGACTGTATATTTTGTGGATGGACTAAGGCAGCCAAATTGCACACAGCAGTGAATGTCCCACAAACAGTCGTGTATTTTTATTATTTGCTTGCTGCCTGGGCAGGGAATGTGGTTGGAATCTGCCCTGAGGTCAGCCCCTCAGTAAGGTGGGGTAGGAGCATTGACCTACATAATACCTGCCTCATGCAGCACTGTAATTGTTGTGGTTGTTTTCAGGCAGCCGGCTAGTACTTGCCCAGAGGGCAATCATCTGGGCACTGACCCTGGAGAGAATTTGATGGTTAGTGCTTTGATTTGAGAGCTACTTAGGTCATCAATGCCAAAGGGTTTTGATGAATTTCACTGAAATGTGTAGTGACTTGAATGCTTTGAAACAAATGCTCTGCAAGATTCCCATTTATATTTCTTGTTTTCCTTCAGGGGCAAAACAGAGCCACTGTGAGCCAGGGAGTTAGGTACAGTGTTTCTACAGCACCAATCCTGGAAGGGCTGATTTGTAACAATTGGAAAAGAGACTTGTCTGATTTATATCAAAAATAATAATCCTTGCATTTGATTATTGACAAGGGAACCTCACTCTTGTCTTCAAATCTTTCCACTCCTCTGCACCCCTCAACTTCTCTGACCTCTCCTCACAACAGTACCCATTGCCTTCGTTCCTCCGGGTCTGGCCTCCTCCTTGTCCCACGAGTCCTCTGCTCCACCCTCGGTGGCCGTACCTTCAGCCACTATGCCCTGAGGCTCTGGAACTGCCTTCTTCACTCCTTTTGTCTCGCTCTCTCCCTTCCCATTTTCAGGTCTCTGCTGAAGACTTTTTTGACCGCGCCTTTGGTCACCTTCCCCCCCCCCTCCGGCTCAGCCTCGGGATCCATTACTGTGAAGCGCTCTGAGACGCCGTCCGGATTGGGTGGGGGCTATATAAATCCAAGTTGTTGATATAGCACCTTGTCATGTCATTGAGACGTCTCAAAGTGCTTCAGAGTACTATAAAGTGAATCGACTTATTTTGTGGGTAAAATGCATTAGAGAAAAAAAACTGGGACTCCACTGAATCTTTCATTTCTGTCCTCGACTCCATGCAACAGTTGAGAGGCACAAAATAAAGGCATCTATTGTTGAGGTCTTACAGTGATATCCTCTGCACTTAGGGAAGGAACATATACTTTGCTGAGAATCACTAACAATGCCCTTTTGGTGTTCAAGAGTCATATTTCACAGATGAGGCATTACACATTCTACAACACTTGAGGCCTGTGAAGCTATGAAAAAGGGAGGGGGGAAAAAAGGCATAATTCTTACCACACATTGGTGAAAAAGGAACAAACTGCCTCTGTAGTCGGGCCTGAATCCTCTCTTTTCTTCCCTGCCCACCCCTCACCCCAATACTCATGGAAAAAAAAATCATATTGTGACCTGCTGCACAGAGGTGTTTGATGAATGGGAACTACAAGCCAATCCTCCTGTATTTTGTATTGAAAGAAAGCGGTCACCTTGGTGCAGACTGTTACAAACTGCAGTCCCACAGTTTGATGGGTGGGACAGAAAGAATGCACACAAACTGGTTAAAGAGAATAGTGAAGGAATTCCTGTGGAAAGTCCCTCTTTTAACAACAAGAAATCTAGAATAATTCTCATTTAGAATACAAGCTTTTTATTTGATGTTCTTCCTTCCTCTCCCGACAGTATCAGTTTGTTCAGATGGCAGTACTCTCCCCTCTCTGGCTCAGAAAGTCGTGGGTTCAAGACCCACATCAGGCTTATAGTAGAGGCTAATATTCTTAATGTTAATAGTAATCCTTGCATTTGATATAGTACCTTATCAACCCGCCTGCTCAGCCGGCTCTGGCTGCTCCACGTCCCCCAAACCACCCACCCCACCATTGGCGGGAGAGCCTTCAGCCACTCTGCCCCCAAACTCTGGAATTCCATCCCCCAATCACTCCGCCTCACCCCCTCCTTAGCCTTCTTCAAGTCCTGCCTCAAGACCCTCCTCTTCGACCATGCCATCGGCCACCCCCCTTCCCCTCCTCTCCCTTAGCCCCCCCAACCCCAGCTCAGGTGTGAAATGCTGTACACTGTCCAGAGCCTTGGGACATCCTCCCGACGTGAAAAGCGCTATACACATGTAATCTTGTTGTTATCAGGTCTTCGAGACATCTCAAAGCGCTTCACTGCATATACTGTAAAGTGAATTAACTGTATATTTTGAGAGTGAAACATGCACAGAGTAGTGTCCCACAAACATTTGTGGATTGAGTGACCAAATTATTATTTAAGGGATTTTTACCCTTGGAAAAGCAATCTGCCAAGCGACTAACAACCGAGTTCCTACTTACTGCTGGTAAACAGAGGTGTGTGGAGTAAGGAAACTTGCCCAACGTTTCTCTCTGCCCGGGAATCAAACCCAGGTCCTCTCGCTTGCAAGGCGAGTGCTCTAACCACTGAGCGACAGGACTCCACGTGGTTATCCTCTCAGACTATACCTAATGTTTAAATAATGGCACCAATTTGATCACGAAAGAACTAGAAATAATGTTTGCAACATTGTATGTGGATGCTTTACATTAGGTATTTGTAAATAAGAGGTTATTACCATTGCTTGGTTTGTAATGTTCACATTTCTATTTTTTGATTTATTACAATTTTTAAAAAAAAACTTGGTGTGAAACAACTGCAGATATGGAATATCTTCTGTTACAAAGCAAAGAATTAATCATAAGTGCACAATACTTGTAAAAATGAATAATAAACGAGGAGAGGGAAGTGACTAGTTATTGTATATAAATTCAGTTTACCGTTTCCCACATGGCTGGGAGCCAATGGTTACCGACTGGGGTAAATGCAGTGAAGCGCTTAGAGATGTCCTTTGCTATAGCAAATGCAAAGATAATTATCATTACAAGCTGTATTGATGGTATTGAGTAAATACAAATTAGTACAATAGATTCACTAATGACACAAACTAACTATTTAAGCTACACATGAGACCAGGGAACTTTAATACTACTTTAATGGATATAAATTGCACAAATCAACAGAACCGTGATTTGAAGTAAAGCGATTTACTCAATAAACAGGCACATTAAATGGTTTTACCAGCAAGCCCAGGTGGCAACATTAGCTCACACTGACTCAATCCCAACCAGAGAGCGAAACTAATTTTAAAATGATTTTATTCTGAAATTTCTAATTACATTTCAGCAAGTGCTCTCGATAGTTGAACACGTAACATGGCATGAAAGAAAGGACAGTATAAGCACTTCTTTTAAGAAATGAATTTAAGTTAGTGACTTTCCAACAAACTTTCAAATGATAAGGGGAAATAATTCAACGTGTATAAAACATCAAATAAACAGGTCAATTTGTGTAAAGCACTCTGCTGGAATGGAGCACACAATAGATAGGGGAAACGAAATCACACTCCTCTCTCCTCACTAACAAAAAAGATGCCAGCAACAATCACTGGGCCTCACAGTGACTCAGGTTAACATGTGTCCAGCACGACAGTGCATGTGTTGTAACCACTAAAACCAAATAACAACATCCATTCCTCTAACACTGCTGGTAACTACACACTGCCCAGACTCCAGCAGAGAGAATAGAGTGTGCGTGAGGGTTTGGAGCTACGATTTGCTGCTAAGTGGTGAACGAACCCCAGTTCTTTCTCTCTCCCTCCGCAGTGTGTCGGTTTCAATAAGCTCAATCATTTACCAACTCTCCACCAGTCAGACCAGCACTATGATGGTGGGGATGGTGCTGGTGGGGGAGGGGTATCTGGATGAGCATCAACCACAATGGGTTGACTACAGTCAACCTTGTCACTGGATTTCAGTCCCTCACACACCAACCCCCGCGCACGTTTCAATGGGGGTGAAGCAACTCAAACACTTTACAATTCACATCTTATGATAACTCTAGGGTTGGTTGATTACTGGCTTGTCCAAGAGATTAATGATATAATTCAATTTAATTGGTATATAAAAAAACACGTGAAGTGACGAGAAGAAAAAGAGTCCAATGTTTTGTCATGCCTCAAAAACCCCTTTCACCTCAAATTGAATGCTAGTTGAATGATTACACATAGTTTTTGCTTGGGGCTGTGGATCGAGCGGTGGAGTATTTAGCTGAATATCCGCTTTCATTCCTGGGGGGGCAGGTGCAGCAGAGCAGAGCCCCCCCAAGTATCAACAGCCCAGAGGCTCCCCAACCGATGTACAGGGAGGCCCCCAGCTCTCTCCTCTGGGCGTCCGTCACGATGGGGTTGTAAAAATCCTTGATGATGGTGTTCGCTGACCAAGAAACCGGGATCAGGGTCAAAACTCCAGCCAGGATGAAGATAATCCCAGCCACGATGGTCACCTTGGCTTTGGTGGCCTCGTTCCCAATGCAGTTGGTGCACTTGCCCCCCATGATGGACACGATCATACCAATGATGCCCACCACAATCGAGATGACGGTCAGGGCTCTGGAGGCTTGGAGATCCTGAGAGAGAGCCAGCAACGAGTCGTACACTTTGCACTGCATCTGCCCTGTGCTCTGCACGATGCAGTTCATCCAGATACCTTCCCAGATGATCTGAGCCACCACGATGTTGTTGCCAATGAAAGCAGTGACTCTCCACATGGGGAGGACACAGGTCAGGAGGGCTCCCAGCCACCCGAACACACACAGGACAATGCCTAGGATTTGGAGTCCCATCGATGCCATTTTCTCTATTGTAGTTAGTGAGGATCTTTCAGACAAAGAATCACCTCCTGGTCCGAAACGATCTGAGGACAACTGGCTAAACAAGTGCACTTTATAGCCCCCTGGACTTGTGGGCGGGAACTGAGCGCCTGATTTCAGTGAAGCCCGCTATAAACAAACAATACCTGTTGTCCCAGATTCCTTTGGTCTCAGTATCATTTTCAGGTATCATTTTGGCTGCTTTTGATCTCTCTCCTGAAAGGAAGAACATCTGACCTAGCAAAAAGAAGCCTTGTGTGTGTGATTTGGGGGAAATGTATTTACATTCCTTCCTCCCTCTTCCCCGAATAAATATTTTATTGTTAAATGGATAGATTATTTTGCCTGAATTAAATAATATTACATTGAAATGGTTGACAGTTTTACTCGTTTGTTAGCAAGGCCCTGTCACATACTCTGCTCTCTCTCTGCTTTCACTATTGCTGCTCACCACCCCAGGCCTTTTAACTAATATTTCAGCCACTCACTCCAAAAGTTGCATAGAACAGTTCAAAGGTCACTGTAATCGGGGAAAAAGAGTTTTGCAAACACTTTGTTAGAAATAAAGGGAAGCCTGCCATTAGTTGTATGAATTGTAGTAAATGCATGGGACAGGCTCCCTTGGGAACGGTGGAAGCAGAAAGTGTTGATTTTTTCAAGAACAAATTGGATAGATTTCTGTTATGAAATATCTCGGGATACAGCATATAGTTTGGGACAGGAAGTGCGCAAGCAACTGCCAGTATGGTGGAAGGCGAACTGGATGGACCTTGGTCTTCTTTCATCTGGTAACTCTTATATTCTTAAATCCCTTCAGGCCCCAGAAACCCTTAACCTCTCTGATTTTATCTTAACAGCACCCCCCCCCACCCTTCCCTGACACTGGTAAGTGCTCCGAGATACATGTCACAGATACATATATAAATGCAAAGAGTTGTTGTTAAAGTGTGGTGACTGTATTTGTAGGCGATTGCAGCAGACCATTGACGTACTGTATAGCATTACTCACAGAGAGTCATGAGCTGAAGATTGTGGACGTGCCTATGTCCCATGTTTTTGGTGATTGCTCAATACCAAAGTAAAGGTGTCAGAGATCTGGAACACCATCTGAGTATCAGTTGAGTTTGTGTGTGATCTTTCTTTCCTGGTTCTGCTACCTTATATAGACAGCAGTGATCAGCGAAAAAAGACTCAAATACCCAATGCAATTGCTAAACATACAAACTCCACCAAACCAGTTATGCCTGGGGCAAAACCGCATTGTTGTTTTTAATAATAAACCTTGCATTCAATATCTCACCTTTCACATCGCGAGGACATCTCAAAGTGCTTCACTGGATCTATATATATATATAGTGATATGTATTTTATAAGAGAAGCAGTAGTGAAGTTACACGCAGCAATGTCCCACAAACAGACATGAAGTCAGTAACCAATTTTATTAAGGAGATTGTCGGCCAGGATACTGGAAGAAACTCTATTTTTGAATGGAGCCGTGGAATTTTGAACATTCACCTGAGCAGGCAGATGGTACTTCAGATTAATGTCTCATCTAAAGGACGGCACCGCCAACAAAGCAGCGACACCTCCAGCAGTGCATCGGAGAATCAGTCTAGACTTATGAGTTCACAGTCCTGATGTGGGGCTTGGACAGCAGCCTTCTGATTCAGAGGCAAAATTGCTAACAACAAAACTTGCACTTATATAGCACCCTCCACACAGGGCAGAGTCTCAGAGCACTAATAATTGAGTCAGGCTTTTTTCTTTGTTGATCTCACCATCAATAAAAATAGTGATATCCTCGCTCTCACTAAAACCTGGATCACCCCCGGTGACACCTTACCCCTTACTGATGGTGGAGTCCTGTGGCTCAGTGGTTAGAGCACTTGCCTTGCAAGCGAGACACCGGGATTCAATTCCACGCAGAGGGCGAAACCTTGGGCAAGTTTCCTTACTCCACACTCCTAATGATAATCCCTCCAAAACAAAACAATAATAAATTGGTCATTTTCAATCCACGAGTGTTTGTGGGACATTGCTGTGCGCAATTGGCTGCCGCGTTTCACTCACAAATATACAGTCAATTCACTTTACAGTATATTCTGTGAAGTGCTTTGAGACGTCTAGAAGATGTGAAAAGTGCTATATCAAATGCAAGGATTATTATTATTATTACTGAGGCCACCCCACCTAGTTACACCTTCCATCATACCCCACAACCTAATTGTGGTGGTGGTGGTGTGGCTCTCATCTTCAGATCTCCACTCAATCTATCTCCTTTCTCTTCAGAAACCTTTCCCTCCTTTGAACACCTCATTCTATAACATCTTTCCATAAAAATTCTCCTGATCTAATCCCTTCAGCACTTTCCTCACTGACATCTCCACCCTTCTCCCCCACCGTGAGTGGGTTTTTTTTTGTTAAAGAAATCATTATTTGGGATGTCCTTCCAATGAGAAATTTTGTGTAGTATCACTAATTTTTTTCCAACAATCTAAAGTGAAAAAGTGTAAGTTAGCAGTAAAATGTGCCTCTCAAAATTTGTCAAATTTCACCTGCAATTTTTGGCAAATATTTCTGCAATTTTCTATTTATTGACCATGGTCATAATCCCTCATTCCATCTCCTTCCCCTCCACACACTACCTTAACAGCCAAGTATATTTTATGTGCAACCCAAAAGCTATATTGCAACACCAATCCCTCAAAATGTTATAAAACACCCACCCTACCCATGTGGACACCTCCCTTGGTTAACAACAACAACAAAATTACAGTTGTAAAGCCCTTTCACATCAGGAGGATGTCCCAAGGTGCTGAACAGTCGAGGTTCAGGATCCAAGTGTGAGGGGGGGGGACGCGCAGGGTTGGGGTGAGGGAGGACAGAGAAGTAGGAGGATGGCTGAAGGCACAGACAAAGAGGAGGATCTTAAGTTGTGCCTTAAAGGAGGCAAGAGAGGGAGGAAGGTGAAGGGATTCTGGGATGGAGTTCCAAAGGGTGGGGGCTGAGAGACTGAAAGTCCACACACTGCTGGTAGGGCTGGTCAGACGGGAGACATGGAGCAGGCCAGAGCCTGTGAGTGGAGGTCGCAGACAGGTTGATAGGGAGTCAGCAGGTCAGAGAGAGGGGTGACAGTAGGGATGAGGAAAGGCAGAGAGGTGGGTGGGCGACCAAAGGCATGGTTGAAGAGAAGGGACTAGAGAAGAAGGCAAGGGCGGAAGCGAGGCGAAGGGACTGTGGGATGGAGTTCCAGAGTGTGGGGGCAGAGGGGCTGAAAGCCCGGCCACTGCTTGTAGGGCGGTTCGGGCGGGAGACATCGAGCAGGCCGGATGGAGCCCACTGAACGTAGAGAGCGGGCAGGTTGGTAGGGAATCAGCAGGTCAGAGAGGTAGGAGGGGGCAAGGCCATGGATGGCCTTGAAAGCGAGGACAAATATCTTGAACTTGATCCTCTGGGGGATGGGGAGCGAGTGGAGTCGGGCGAGGATGGGAGTGATGGGGTTGGGAGAGGGTGGGGGTGATGGGTTCGGGCGAGGGTGATGGGGTCAGGCGAGGGTGGGGTTGATGGGGCCGGGCGAGGGTGGGGTTGATGGGGTTGGGCGAGGGTGGGAGTGATGGGGTCGCGGAGCCTGGAGTACACAAGCTGCAGAGCTTTGGATGATCTGCAGTGTGTGAAGCGAAGAGTTGGGAAGGCTGATGAGGAGGGAGTTCCAGTAATCGAGCCTTGTGTGACAAATGCATGGGTGAGGGTTTGGGAAGCCTGAGGGGTGAGGCAGTGGCGGAGTCTGGCAATGTTGCGGAGGTGGTGATAGATAGTGCCGGTCATGGGGCGGATGTGGGGGAGAAAGGACAGTTCAAGATCAAACAAGATACCCAGGTTCCTGACCGGCTTAATGAGGTTGAGTGTGCAGCTGTGGAGGCTGATGCTGCCAGCGGTAGAAAGTTGGATGTCATCTAGGCTTTGGATGTCAGACAGGACATCAGTTGTCCTAGAATCGAGTGCGGAGGCAGAGAGATAAGAGTTCAACGTCATCTACGTACTTGTGAAAGTTGACCCCTTGTCTGTGGATCATGTCACCAAGGGGGTGCATGTAGAGGTTGAAGAGAAGGGGACCGAGGACAGAGCCCTGAGGAACTCCACACGAGACTGTGCGGGGGCTGGAAAAGAAACCGTTGCCGGAGACAAATTGGAGATGGTGTAAGCGATAAGACCTGAACCATTCAAGGACAAAACCTTGAAGGCTGAGAAGAGGCGGTGGAGGAGGATGGAGAGTATATGCAGTTGACATGCCAACATCCACAAAATGTCACCACCCATCCACACGCAAAGAACTATGCTTAGCATCCCTACACCCTTCAACATTAGTCATTCATTTACCTCATTCATTCCCTCCACCGAAAGGAAGTGTTACACAACACACAGCCTGTGCCCCCCCCCCCCCCCCCTCTCACCCCATTCACACCTGTTAGGTTTCGGTTAAGCCTCAGACAATGGTTGGTTTCTGGTGGAGATTCTCCGAGTAAACATTAACTGCTGGAAACAATAGCATGAAAAACCCTGAGCTGAAACACACCCCAATGAACATTAAATCAGTTAAGCCTCGGCCCCTCCCGGCCACACGGTGGTGACCAGTCCCACCACTCCCGGGAGGCGCGTGGCGGCTCGAGAGGCGTCGAACAGAGACAGAGAGCGAAAACTCCGAGAAAACTGCTTATCACAGGTCTATAGCGAAAGGCGCGTTGTCTGTCGGCGATGTTGTATATGTGCAATTTATTTCACTTCTCTCTTGGCCGAGGATTTGTTGTTTTGGAGGCGGTTATATTGCATTAAGAGGCGAAGTCAAAGTGGCTTTAGTGGTGCATCTTAATTTATTTTATTTATTCTGGAGGCAATGCAATGCTCACATATACATATACAGGTCCCCCCCCCCCAGGCTGTAGGTTAAAAAACACACATCTCGGTACACAGAAAAAGCGGAGCGAAAGAAAAAACAATAAGGAAACAAAAATCAACTATTACTGATCTATCATTGGGCGGATCACAAAAAATAAACACTATATATGAAATGCGGTAATTAAAGCGATATTAATTCAGCACAGAGGACGGACAACAAAAGCTTCAGTTTGCCTCCGACTTCTGTAACCCAAAGGCGCGCAAATACCTCCGCAACCTCCAACATATCAGATAACAGGTGTCGTTCCCCCCTACACACACACACACACAGGTCTGTCATCCCGTCCCCCGTCCCCCCCACACACACACAGGTCCCCCCCCCACACACACAGGTCCCCCCACCCCCCACACACAGGTCCCCCCCACATACACACAGGTCCCGTCCCCCCCCCCCCCCACACACACACAGGTCCCCCCACACACACACACACAGGTCCCCCCACACACACACAGGCCCCCCCACACACACAGGCCTCCACACACACACAGGTCCCGTCCCCCCCCTCCCCACACACACACACACAGGTCCCCACACACAGGCCCCCCACCGCACACACACAGGTCTCCCCCCCCCCCCACACACACACACAAAGGTCCCCCCTCCCCATACACACACAGGTCCGAAGTATTTGGGGGTAGAAGTAAGATACACCATCAAAAAACGAGGTTTCAGCATTTTTCTCTGATTATTCACAAGATAATACAAAAAGTCCCCAATCTCACTTATATGAATTCAAAGACATTCTCCTCACTTGACCATTGACACACAAACTGAGCCATTGCACATTCATTCCAATTTATCCATTCATCCATTGCAAGTGACTACATCTCCTAATGTCCGCTCTGAGTGAAAAGTCCGCGACGAGAAGAGGATGGAGGAAGGTTGGGGTCTTCTCAAGTCAAGTCTCACCCCGGATTCCGACTGAAAACGCGCTTGAAAAGTCCCGAAAATCCCGTTTTCTTGGCGCCTCTTCCTTCCTTACACATAGTTCTTGCTGGGGACGGAGGAGCGAGCGGCGGAGTATTTGGCCGAGTAGTTGTCGTTCTTGGGGGGACAGGAGCAGCAGAGCAGAGCCCCTCCCAGCAGCAACAGCCCAGAGGTTCCCCAACCGATGTACAGGGAGGCCCCCAGCTCTCTCCTCTGGGCGTCCGTCACGATGGGGTTGTAGAAATCCTTGATGATGGTGTTGGCTGACCAGGAAACCGGGATCAGGACCATCAGCCCAGAGAGGATGAAGACAATCCCAGCCACGATGGTGACCTTGGCTTTGGTGACTTCGTTTTCGATGCAGTTGGTGCACTTGCCCCCCATGATGGACACGATGATACCCAGCACTCCCACCACGATGGCGATGACGGTCAGGGCTCTGGAGGCTTGGAGATCCTGAGAGAGAGCCAGCAACGAGTCGTACACCTTACACTGCATCTGCCCTGTGCTCTGCACGATGCAGTTCATCCAGAGACCTTCCCAGATGATCTGAGCCACCACGATGTTGTTGCCGATGAAAGCGGTGACCCTCCACATGGGGAGGATGCAGGTCACGATAGCCCCCAACCAGCCCAGCACACTCAGGGCGATGCCCAGGATCTGCAGTCCCATCGATGCCATGTTGTTTCTTGGCGAGGTGGATGGTTGTTGAGTTTCGTGGGTATTGGCGACGTGGAGTGTGGAGTAGAGAGACAGAGACAAAGACTGAAGTTGAGCAGCTGAGTTCTTGGTCGTTTGTGAGAGGTGTGCCACCAGAGAGACGCTAGTTATTGCCTCGGGATTGTGGGCGGGTAACTAAGCCTTAAGCCCCCTATCAACTGGGTCCTGCCCCCATCCACCCACTCGCTACACAGATACTCAAACTCATACGTTACAGTCACACAAAAAAAAACTGTCTCTCACATGATGTGGCGTCACCTGCTATCAGTCAATACACAATCATTATTAGAAACAAAAACAGAAGTCACTGGGAGCCCTCAGCAGGTTAGGCAGCATCTATGGAGAAAGGAAAGTGAGTCAACGTTTCGAGTCCATGACACTTCGTCAGAGCTGTCTAATCATCGTTATTAGGGCGTTCACTTGCTGGTTTCACTGGGGGTGTTTACATAATGTTATTCCCTCTCCCCCCAACGCACATTCATGTGACAAAGTACTTAATCAAACCAAATAAGCTCCCTCCGTCATGCATGTTCAAGCACATTTGCCTACAGTCTCCCTCTCTCTCTACCTGTGATAATCAGCTTCTTTGTGCTGTATTTCTGACTTGGAAATTATACCCTAGAGCGATGCACACACAGCTTTCTATGGAACCCTGTGTTAGAGTTTAAATAGACGTCTTTAGCAGCAAGGTAACTGGCAAGTCGGGCAGGTACAGAGTGTGTTAGCAAGGACAGGACAAGGTAATAAACAGCATTTCTGGAGCAAGCAGATAAAAGTAGATAAGCTTGTGTCATGAGAGCAGCCATGAATAAGGGAAAATTTCAAATAGGTGTCAGCGAGGCTCATTGGGTAGCATTCTCAGCTTTGGTTAGCAGGAAATGAATTTCAAGATCAGTATAATATGATAATAATGATTATAATATAATAACACTCTGGAACTCCATCCCACGGTCCCTTCGCCTCGCTTCCTCCCTTGCCTCCTTCAAGGTCCGTCGCAAGACCTTTTTCTTCGACCGTGCCTTTGGTCTCCCTCCCACCTCTCTGCCTTCCCTCACCCCTACACCCCCCCCCCCCCCCACCCCATGCCCCCATGCTCGGGCCCCGACGCCTGACTGTTCAGCGCTTTGGGACGTCCTCCCGATGTGAAAGGCACTCTATAAATGTAATTTTGTTGTTGTTATGATCCTTGCATTTTATATAGCAACTCAGTGAATTATGTTGAGCCATGAGAAATTGCTGTATCAAATGCAACTTTTATTATGAAAATAGCAACACTGGATATGACCTCCCCTGAGGCTGATGTTTGGGACTGTTGATACTGTAACATGTTAAATATGTACATGTAATCTGTCATATGCCAGAATTGCAAAAGACTCCCAGCATGTTCAACCCAAAGTAATATCCATCAATAACCAATATATCTAATGTTTTATCCAAATAACAGACATTTTGGAGGCAGTATAGGAAGAATGGAGGAAACGAGCAGAGCAAAAGGACTGGATCACATCCATGTGAATGGACATTGACTGAGGAGCAATTTGTAAAAATAATAATAATAATAATCCTTGCATTTGATACACCGCCTTATCACCTCCTTGAGGCATCTCAAAGTGCTTCACAGGATACTTCGCCCACAAATATACAGTCAATTCACTTTTACAGTCTATTTTGTGAAGCGTTTTGGGATGTCTAGAAGACGTGAAAAGCGTTATATCAAATGCAAGGATTATTATTATTATAATTATACCACAAAGTGGAGTGACTGTATTTTGTGGGCGAATGTGGCACACAACAATGTCTCACAAACAGCCATGAAGTGAATGACCAATTTTATTTGGGGGATAGAGAGAAATTCCCTTCTCTTTTGAAATACTGCCATGAGATCTTTAATGTCCACCTGAACAGGCAGACAGGACCTCGGTTTAACATTTGTTTTCTGAAGGATGTCAAAGAGTTTTATGTTAACATGGAAGACAGAAAGAACTCCAGGTGCCCTTTTGAACAATTTATGCTGTCTACAACAACAAGATTGCATTTATAGAGTGCCTTTCACGTCGGGAGGACATCCCGACTGATCTGGGAGGATGTCTACTTCAATGGTCTTCCGTGGTCGGCAAAGTACCTTATTAAATGATTGCTCAGCTGTTGGCTGTTTGTAGTATAATGCTGAGATGTTAAACTAAGGTCCCATCTGCCTGTTCAGGTGGATGTTAAAGATCCCGTGGCACTATGCGAAAAGGGAGGGAGTTTCTCTCTTCCGTTGTCTTGGCCAACAATCCCCCAAATAAAATGATTCTTTGTTTCATGGATGTTTGTAGGACATTGTGCAAATTGGCTGCCACATTTGCCTAGAAAGTACCTGGTCACTACAGTTTTCAGTAAATTCTGTGAAGCAAGTCGAGGTGTCCTTCAGACATGAAAAGTTAGATCAAATGCAAGGATTATTAATATTAATAATAGTTTGCTTTCATCTTTTATATACTTTAACAGTGGAGCCGATGTAAAAGCTGAGACTCTTTGTGCAACCTAGGAATGGAAAAAACACTTTTATTCTGGAAAATGCTACAGAGCACAGTAAGTTAAAGATAATAGTTAAAGATAATAGTGTGGGCAAAGAATGAGGTGTGAAGTGCACCACTGTGTTTTACATAACAGCATCCTTGTCTCCAGTGGGAACCAAGATAAAAGACAGGAGATGAGGAATGAAGTGGCTTCTTTCTGTTTCAGGCTTCTTTGATCTAACAATCCCCACCATTGCTATTGGCAGGAACTTTGCTCATTGGAAGGAGTTTCCTGATGAAGTGTGATTCACAAAGTATGTAGAGAGATGTGCAGACAATGCTTCAGAGGGACAGTCCCACACATTCACTCAATTCAGCCGTGGCTATGAGGTCTGCAGTGTTTCAGACACATCAGTCACTGCACCCCCTTTACTCATCATTACTCTTTGGGATGATTCCCTGCCCCCTAGTCACTGGGGCACGAAGTCCCCCTCCCCCCGCTCAGCTCCAGTTAATCCTGCAAGGCAAAGCCCTAACAGGTAGGGTGGTCCTAACTGGACAAACAGCAGGAAAGCTTGCCAGACAGCAATATCAATGGTAAGCAATGGGCAGGGCGGTCTCCAGCAGTTACCCCAACACACACTATGGGCTCCCCAAACCTTAGCTCTTGCCAACCTGCGCCTAATATTTTCCAGAATTAGATAGGCAAGAAGCTTCCCTCCAGGGAGAGAGTGTGTATTCCAACAATCTATCTCTGGAAGTTCCATGTGTAGGTGGGATGCATGGAATTCTCAGTTTGGTTTGGATACTCATTAGCATGGTGATGGGTTTCCACATGTGTTAGACACTCGACTGAAAAAAAATCATTACTCAGCAATTCACCCCTTCACTGACTATTACTCAGGGACTATTATTCCACTGACCACTACTCCGCCGCCTGCACTGTCTGTTACTTATTACCAGAGTGCAATGCTTTCTCAAGACTACAAGTTAATAATAATAATCCTAACATTTGGTATAGTGCATTTTCACATCAGGAGGGAGCCTCAAAGCGTTTTACAGGAGATACTGTAAAGTGCAGTGACTGTGTTTTGCGAGCTAACACGCAGACAGTTTTGCACATAGCAATGTCCCACAGACAACCATGGAGTGAATGACCAATTTTATTTAGGGAATTGTTGACCAAGACACGGGGAGAGAGAAAGAAACTCCCTTCTCTTTTTGAATAATCGTTAACGCCCACCTGAACAGGCAGATGGGGCCTTAGTTTAACATCTGAAACGAAGGATGGAAAAGTACAGAAGGGACATACTGAATACTGCAAATGAAGCATTTAATATCAGTGAGTCAGTCTCACAATGAGATGGGTGTTACTGTTGCAAACAGTGTTTATCCCTTGTGAGTCAATGTGCTTGGAGCATAAAGTGAAACATCTTGAGCGCAGGAGAATATTCAGCCCATTGAGACTGTGTCACTGCCTTTTTACCACTTTTAATTCATTTCACTTTCCAGCTCTCTCCCCATATCCTTTAATGAGTTTAACTCATGTTTGTTCTTTTTTGAATGTGTCCATTGATTCAGCCTCAATATTTACTTTAGATAAAATTCCAAACCTTCACAACACAAACAGCAAAGGAATTCATTTTGCTCTCTGCCGTGGTTGTTCTGTAGAATGTTGGGGGAGAGACAGGTGTTGTTTTAAGTAAGTTATCTTTTGTTGAGTTGGGGGAAAAAAAGAAATACAAATTCCATCAGTTATCCAAACAGCTCTTATCTGCTTCCCTCTGTTTACCTCCTTTCAAACATTGTGACCCAGGAGCTTTTTTGGTATTTTTGTTTTTGCCTGAGTAATTTTATAATATATATTTTCAAAGGAATATAACACCTTCTGCTACTAATCCTGAGACTATGCACCTTGTTACTGAATCCCCAACTAAAGGAAATTTTTTTTGTACTATTTAACTTCTCGTCTTCAGAATTTTAAACATCTCTGTCATAACTAACCTCCCCTATTCCTGTGAGAAAAGGTCCAATTCAGCCAGTATCTTCTCACATATATATTGCCTCATTTAGGTGTCAGCCTGGCTATAACTAGAAGAGGAAGTTTAGAAGGGTGTAGGAGGGATTAAGGAATGGGTGAGGATTTGTGTGGAGTATAAACACTGGCACAGACTGGTGGGGCTGAGTGACCTGTTCCATGCTGTACATTCTTTGTCAATCTTTCTTATGCTGTGAGGTTCAAGCCCCATGTCAGGACTTTGAGCTTCTAGACTGGGCCACAAATGCAGTGCAATGCTGGGGGAGCATTACAATGTCAGAGGCGCTGTCCTTCAGATGAGATGTCAAGTCAAGGTCTCGTCTGCCTGTTGAAAAGGACATTACAAATCCACTATTTTAAAAGAGAAGGCAATCCAGATTAATCCACCACCCACATGAGGGCATTCTATGTAAATGCAAGTTGCTGTTGTCATACACGGATGCTCAGTCTGGTTTGGACACTGTTCACCAAACTGATGGGTCTGGTTTCTGCATATGTCGAACACCTGGCTGACCAAAAAAATACAGGGACAACAACAACAACATTGCATTTATAGAGTGCCTTTCACGTCGGGAGGATGTCCCAAGGCGCTAGATAGTTGGGTCAGGACCCGAGAAAGGGGGAATGGTCAGGGTGAGGGGAGAGAAGGGAGGGGGTAGAGAGTCGAGAGGGGAGCTGAAGGCACGGTTGAAGAGGGAGGTAATCATTACAAAGACAGAATGGAAAAGGAATGAATAATCTGTCTCGTTCATCTCTCGCTTGCCTATCTCAGGAATGTGCAGGTCTGCACTGCCTCCTGGCCAGTCAGTTGCTCTGATTTACAGGTGAGATTTCATAACAAATTGTAACTGAAATATTTTACGTTGCAGTGAGGTTAGTGGTCAGGAATGCCTGTTACAAAACTTGAAATTAATATGTCAAAGCACAGATGTGAGTTTTCTCACAGATTTACAATAAGCCTTGTGTTTCTTTAGTGCCTCATTGCATCAAAATGTCTCAAAGCAGAACCCTTTGATATGTGTAATGATTATTTCTACAGGTAAACGCAATAGCCCTTTGGCTCACAGCAAGATCACACAGACACCCAGGAGATGGCTGATGAGCAGCCTCGCCATCAGATTTCATCCCGAGCTGTCTCTCCCCTTCCTTCTTTCCTTCCTTCCTTTCTTCCTCCCCCACACCCCCCCACATCTGGTCCCCGACCACGACCAGTTTCCTCCACCTCCACCACATCATTCACCTCTGACTGTACCTCACACCCAATGCAGATGAAATTCTCATTCACGCTTTTGTCACCTCTTTTCAACTTATGTCAGTTTCTTTAATGTCCAGCTAAACAGGCAGATGTTATCATGCGGAGCAAAACCTGCAGGAAAACCAGGGGGCACATATCATACTGATAAAGGAGGGGAGGAGATAAGCAAAGTGCATCCCAGCAACACACAGGGACAAGTTGCAAATGCCATTCCCTGCCTAGGGAATCCCTTTGTGCTTTCCTGTGTTAGTTTGTCCTGTGACTGGATATTACTCTTTCAGTTCGGCTTGGATCCTCATGGTGATGATGGGTTTCTGCATGTGTCAAACACTCGGCTGACCCCCAAAATTCTGTATGTTACTTTGCGTCTCTTCCTGTATTTCTATTTTCTCTTCGATTCTCTGTTTCTCCGCTACTCTGTTTCTCTTTATGACTATTCTTTTTATGGATCTGTTACTCTGAGTCTTTGTGTCTCTTTGTGTTTATGTTTCTCGCTCTCTCTTTGTGTCATTGTGTCTCTCTGCTTTTGTTCATCTCATTCTGTGCTACAGCAATTTGTGATTTAAATCCTTATTGATTTGTGTTAGTGCATTGTTCTATGTCTCAATGTATTTCAGTGTCTCAATGTGTCCTGTGGAGTCCTGTAGCGTAGTGGTTAGCGTGTTCGCCTTTCAAGCGAGAGGATCTGGGTTTGATTCCCGGGCAGGGCAAAACCTTAGGCGAGTTTCCTTAATTCACACACATCTGTTTATCAGCAGTAAGTAGGAACCTTGTTGCTAGTCGATTGGCGGATCGCATTTGGGGGTAATGATCCCTCAACAAAATGTGGTCACTCAATCCACGACTGTTTGTGGGACACTTTACAAATTGCACTGGGACTCTATCCTGCATGAGGGGCGCTATATAAATGCAAGTTGTTGTTGTTGTATATTCTGTGAAATGCTTTGAGATGTCTCAATGACGTGCTAAGACTCTATACCAAATGCAAGGATTATTATTTCTCTCTCTGCACTGTATAGCTCTTTCAACAACAACAACAAAATTACATTTGTCTACGAAACACAAAATACTGCAGATGCTGGGAATCTGAAACAAAAACAGAGAGAGCTGAGTCAAACGTTTGGGGTCCACGACGCTTCCTCAGTTGACTCACTTTCCTTTCTCCATGGATGTGAGAGGCATATGTGTACAAATGTAAGCAGAGAGGCCTGACCTGCGGAGTTTTCCCAGCTCTCTCTGTTTACATTTGTACACATATGCCTTTCACATGGAGAGGAGTGTATTAGTAGTTCAGGATTATTCTTAACTGGTTATATTTTTTAAGACGGTTGTGTTATGTGTGGTGTATAATTGAGTTATGCAAACACCTCAGTGAAACCAGTGAGCAGGTGGCGAGCAGGGGAATTGGTTTCAGGTTTCCTGCAGCTTTGCTCTGGAGTCTCTATTTATTCTCACCAGAGACGAGTGACTGATCTCCCTGTTTCACTCGTTCCCCACCTCGGGCTGTCAGATGCCGTCAATCCTTTCACGTCCCAGAAGTTTCACAACCAACAATGAACTGAAGAATTTCTGGTTCCTGCCAGAGGTTTGGCTATTTTCGGTTCCAATGTTGACTCATCCACTTTAATGGTAAGACATTCCACGGTGAGCAGCTCACTGAGCTATAGTGCCCACTGAGACAACAACTTAGGGGATGAAACTAGCGTTGAGCAAACTTGCCCGACCAGTCTGTGACTGGTGGGTGTGGCTCTAGCGAGCAAACATCTCATGATCCCAAATGCAAAGATCCCAAATGGTTGAGGGCTCAGTCCCATGACTTCAGTCTCAGTTCATGTCACACACTGTTTGAGCCCCAGTATTAGTTGATGGTGACATTTTCAGGTGAAGAAGATCTGAAAACGTACTGAGAAAGTTCTTTGCTATCTAGACTTTACAAAGGTAAGTAACAGAGCTGTGCTAACAGCTCACCTCCTTCCTTCTCGTTTGCTACTGGTTGCCATGGGCACAGGTGACTATTTAAAAAACATTTCAGGATCATCAAGGCACCGGAAAATATGAGACAGGCCATTGAGTTCAGCCAGTGACAAAACGACACCCACTAATGGTTAAATGATCAGGGCACCATGACTTTGAAGGGAATAATATTTTGAATAAGAGAAATAACTTGGGTTTTGAATATGAATAATGATGTTGAAATGTATCAAAGAGTATTACAGTAATTGCAGCAAAGAATCATAGAATTTTACTGCACAGAAGGAGGCCATTCAGCCCACTGTGCCAGCACTGGCTCTTTGAAAGAGCTACCAACTAGTCCCACTCCCCCGCTCTTACCCCACAGCCCTACACAATCTTCCATCTTACGTACCTGTCTAATTCCCTTTTGAAAAATATTATGGAATCTGCTTCCACAACTCTTTGAGGCTTATTCCAGATCATAACAACTTATTGCCAAGTGTAATGTCCACAGAAGCAGACAGACAAGACCTTGGTTTAATGTCTCCTCCAAAGGAGGGCACATCAGACAATATGGCACTCCTCCCAGGATGGCAGTAGAGCAAGCGTCAGCCCAGTTGGTGAGCTCATGTTCTAATCTGGGGCTTGAACCCACAACCTTCCAGCAGCGAGCGGGCTACCAACTGAGCTAGGCTGCCACCTGAATAATAATAATAATCCTTGCATTTAGTATAGAGCTTTATCATATCGACACGTCTCAAAGCACTTCACAAGCTATTCTCTAAAGTGGAGTGACTGTGTAACTTGTGGGCAAATAAGTGACCAATAGAGAGAGAGAGGGAGAGTGTAGTGAATACTGTGCTTTTCTACACATACTGACTGAGCTTTCCCACTGTTTTGTAAACATGTCTCACAGGTTTGGTAAATCACCTGATAAATGGCAAATATAGAATGTGATAACACAAAACAAAAACAGAAGCTTGTGAGTATGACTGGGTCCAGCTGTAAATGTGGTGAAAAGTGTGAGGAATAACTGCCAATGTCAACTGTCCCAAACCCCACAAAAGCAGTTGAATTTCATTGTATTTTAACTTCTCCCCACAGACCACAAGCCATCATTACACTGCGAGACTAGTCACCTGTTGGTCAGACATACACTGTTCCCTATTACCCAGCACCAGGTCCACAGGAGACATTTCCCACACCACACAACCCACCGGCTATATTTTATTTAGTATATAAAGCCTCCTGGCGTCAGTTGCATTCCTGATGGGTTTGCTCTGTATAACGCCTACTGTGGGGGGGGGGATTTCTCTTTAGCCTGAGAGCTGGAGCCATGAATCACTCTCATGGCACATGTGACTCACATCCCCACTCCTTCCTCTCTTTTAGATCATAATGGAAGACCTTCCTCTTCGACCGTGCTTACAGTCACCTCCTCCCCCCAGCTCAGCGTCATGCTCCACCATTGTTAAGTGCTCGGATATGCTGCCCTCGTGAAGGATGCTATATAAATGTAAGTTGTTGTTATTTTGAAGGGAGAGAGAGAGAGGGTGTTAGACGGAGGGATTTCAGGAGAGAGTTGTAGTTGTGGTTGCTGTTTTTGAACCGCTGCCCCCATCCTCCTGATCACAACTGACCTCATACTGTAACCCGTCACTCGTGACCCTGGAATGAACAGCTTATCTGACAAACCCACAGACAATGGATCCTCTCCCTACCCTCCCCTGCCTGGAGTCACAACCATTTCCCCCCTGCGACCTGGGGACAGACTTTCTCAACTGCCCCTGAACCCACATCGTACCACGGTGCAGCCCCTCCTCTTGGGCTGAGTGGGCAAAAGTGCAGCATCAGCTACAGACCTGTGGGTCCCAGGTTGTTGAGGGATGTAGGGTAAGGGAGGGTGGGGGGGGATATGTGAAGTTGAGGTATGATCAGTGATGATCTAATTGAATGGCGGTACAGGCTTGAGTAGCTGAATAGCCTATTGCTGGTCCCAGTCAATCTTGATTGAGCTGATCTCAGTTGGGTCAACAGATGGGGTGACAAACCCATGGGAGAGGCAAATCAGCGAGGATTCCCTCTGCTCCCCCTGCTGGCAGTATCCATGTGTGGCGATCAGGCGAGGACAGTGTAAAGCTCAGTCATGATGCTTCCAACAGTTGATGGCACTACCCACACTTGCTGTCTGGCTCTTCGACATTGAGGATGGCCACAGATAAGGTATCAGAAGGACCAATGACAGCAAAGAGCCAGAAGAGAAAGGTGGTAATAACAGGTGGAAATGGAGACTCCACACTGAAACAATAATGGAAGCCCCAGCGTGAGAGGGTGAGCCAGGGTGAGAGGGTATCTGTGAGCCAGGGTGAGAGGGTATCTGTGAGCCAGGGTGAGAGGGTATCTGTGAGCCAGGGTGAGAGGGTATCTGTGAGCCAGATTGAGGTGGGAGGGGCCTTTACTTTGAGTTTCTGTAGTGTAAGACGTTGCTGCACACAGACAGAGCAGTGACGAGAGTCTGATTCCTGGTATTTCCACTGATACTCAGTTTCAAACGTAACAAAATGGGCCACATTCCAACCACACGGGGCGAGGCAGTGCAGCAGAAACCCTCAATTCTCATCTCTGTTATTCCTATAAACAAGATTTGTAAACTGGTGGTGACCAGGCTGAGAGTGGCGCGGGGGACGGGGGTGATCACAGAGTGGCAGGAACAGGAAGTAACCTTGGAGTGACCGGGATCAGAGTGACCCAGTGGGAGTGGGTGACCACAGAGTGATCAGGCTTTGAGAGAGACTGGTTCAATTTAGTTTGTTCAGTGCTACTGCCTAATTCACGTCAGAGGAGTGATGCGTGATGAGGCTGGATTGTTATTGTGACACCGGTTTCCACAGAAATCTCATGCAAATTCCCATATCGGAAATGTGTAGTTATTGCCCAGTGTCAGTGTCGCAATCTCAATGTCCACATTAGAGGCAGTGTCGGGAGCTCAGAGCATGGATCAGAGCGAGAGGAGTCAGTGCCTGGGCTGGTGAGGAGTCCAAGCCTGGTGTATCGATCTGTTTGGTGATAGGGAGCCAGTAGAGCTTGGCTAAAACTGGTGCAATAGTGATACGGAGTTTAGTGCAGGAGTTTAGTAGTTTAGCACTTATACTTTCACAGAAAATTCTAAGATGGTCCCTTTCTTTTGGAGCCCTCTATCAGAAGGGGAGCATCATTTGCTATCTAGCTTGTCAATTCCCTTTATTATTTTAAACACCTCAATCAGGTCACTCCTTAAGTTCTAAAGAATATAGCGCAGGTCTAGGCAGCTTCTCATCAGAGCTCTCACAGAACAACAACAACTATCACCTGCGTACAGCGCCTTTCACGTGTGGAGGACGTCCCAAGGCGCTGGACAATCGGGGATTGAGACCCGAGCTGGGGGTTGGGATCAGGAGGTATGGAGGGCAGGGAGGGTGGGGAGCAGGAAGGTGGGGGAAGTGCCCCAGGCACCTTTGTTCATTAGGATAAAGAGAGAAGAAATCTGACCATGAGAAATAATCACTGGAGCTAATTCAAATAGACGGATGTGTCAACACATCTGAGCTCCTGCAGATAGCTGAGCTCAGCCCAGGTGGTCAGAGCGGGATCACAGCATGAGGGCAAAGTCCTGTTTGAGAACCTATTAGATGGGATCTGTGTGGTTACGCACCCTGTGGCTGCTAAACCTAAGAAGGGGCCCCCTCATACAGCGAGACAACAGGGCATCATGTTGGCAC